TTTCCATCCCTGTTGCTGCTTACAAGCAAGAGAAGCCTTTAAAGGGAAGACAGAAGAAAGAAAAGAGAAAACGAAGAGGGATGGAGCTGGAAGAGCAGAAGAGGATCTACATAGGACATCAGTCCTAACCAGCCTGTGCGTTTTTAGCCCGTATCAGATAGTGTTTAGCAAGCAGATAACAGTCTACCATTGTCTCACATCTTTTTGCTTTGGCATTTTTCAAGTGTTACTTCAAAAAGCAGGTTTTCACCACTCCACTTGTCAAACCACATTGCAGCTTCCTAGAGCCAGAGAGTGAAGTATTTTCATGTTTCAAATACCAGCTGGGAAAAAACACTACTGGAATTTCTGCAGGGTTTTTTTATTATTATTATTATTATTTAAAACATGCTCCTATGTAAGTCCTTGTATGACAAATTTTAGCCAGCAGCTAATTTTTAAGAAACCTTAACTTTCAAGAGGAGTCCAAGCAAAAAGGAAGAGAGGTTTTCCAAAAGCTAGTACAGCCGAAAGCAAGGCATTAAAAGGGTGGTCTGTACTGTAACTCTACTGCAGCTCCTAGTGCTCATGTGCACACACAAGCAGAATCTGAGAGCTTTGTGATAAATATGCTGTGAAAATGTTCCAATAAACCAAATTGGCTTTTTTTTTTAAAAAAAAAAAAGAAAATTATTTCTAAACAATTTCCATCTCTGTGTTACATGAAATAGTTCCTTTAAGGCCTGACTGTTCATCTCTTAAATTCTTCTGAGATGAAGTCACTACTACAAAGTCACTGGCCATCCACAGACAAGTCTTTAACCCCACTGTGAACGCACTCCAAGACCAGGTGAAGAGACCCAGCTTATGGTACAGGATGACACAAGTCAACCTGGAGTCTTGGTCAGGCAGAGGTCCAGGAGAGGGCTGCAAAGACCAATGGGTTGGCACAGAGGAGGAGGAGATAGAATGAAAAGATTAAAAAAAGGAGTGACAAGAACCTACTTTCAGGTTTATATCACTGGATCCGATGCTCTGTGGAATCATTCCAGCGCAGCAGCTCCAAAACTCTTTTCCTAACGATCCCGCTTCTGGTAACAACCACCGCTGGCCGGGAGCCCACGCTACTACTGAATTACCATCAAGCCTGTGGTCCCGCTTGCAAGCTCACCCCCAGCCTGGGAATTATTAAAGTTCACCTCTTCATAACATCTGAGCAGGGAAAGTAAAGTGCAACTTTAAATGATTTGGCCAGGGCGACAAGGGGAAAAAAAAAAGAAAGAAAAAAAATAAATGTAAGGAAATATTTGAACCTGATCTTTTAAATCCCAGTTTAAAATCCCAGCAGTAGCAAAGCCAGGTTTAATAAAAAAAGGAAAAGATGCAAAGAGGAAAAGGAAGTTATAGCAGACGGCGTAGTCATGGACCAGTAAGCTCAATTTCACAGGAAGAAAGAGATCTCGGAGATATTAACTGGACAAACTGAATTGAATTTCTGAGCCCTTATGATTTACAGACATACATTAGAGTAATGAGAACCCGCTACCCGTGTATGGGATTGAAGCTTGGCTTACAGGATTTTTCTCTTGAAAACTACTACTTTAACTCACTAGTTTGAGTGCCAATAGAAGCATCGGAGCTTGTGCCCCAAAAGCAGCAAGCGTGCCCTGTTGCATGTTGTTATCAGCACCCTACGCGCTGCCAGCAAATGCATGTCACAAAAGAGCTGCAGTAACTTAGATGCGAGGAAACTCGTGGACTAGCACCGTCCAACTTTCACTTACTTGGCTTCCAGAGCACAGCCCACGTTAGCGCAGCAAATGGGAGAACAAGGACGTCCAGGTACGGGAACCCACCACACCCCTGGACACCAGGAAAGGCACAGGAATGAGTTTGCCTGAATCCTGCCCCTCTCCCCAGTGAGGGACCTCTTTAACCCATCCAAACCCCTGCAAGATTGATCTTCAATGGGAAGAGTCTGCTCTCAACATTTCCCTCCCACTACCCGCTGTTTCGTCCTTTGGAAAGCAAAAGGTGTGGGGTGACGTGCAGAGGAGAAACCTCGTAATCGACAAAACGGAGTGGAAGGAGCCCGCTTCAGTGTACATGCACAATAAAGAAGTGCCTACGGGACAGCGTTGCGGGGAAAGCTCTCACACCTTTCCTGAGGAATCAGCGTAACAAGGCGCCTCTCAAGTGGGGGAACAAGCAGGAGGAATTAAGAGGTCCACGTGCAGTCGCAGGGCTACAACCTCACTGGGATGACGGCGATGCTGCGGGATAGCTCACAAGCCTGGAGTGCTGCCGTGGATGGATACAGCTTCTTCAGGAAGGACGAGCAGGGACAGCAAGGATGAGGAGTTGTCCTTTATGCGAGAGCGCAGCGGGAGTGCACAGGGGTGGATGACGAGCCAGCTGAGAGCTGACAGGTCAGCATTAGCAGGCCAACAAACACGGGTGATGGCCTGTGGCGGGTGGGTGGTGTCCACTGCAGACCACCTGCCCAGCAAGGACATAAGGAAGAAGCCCCATGTTGACAGGCTCCATGTTGACAGCCCCATGTTGAAGGCTCTGCGGAGGGACCTGGACAGGCTGGATCGATGGGCCCAGACCAACTGTATGAGGTTCAACAAGGCCAAGTGCCGGGTCCTGCACTTCGGCCACAACAACCCCATGCAGCGCTACAGGCCTGGGGAAGAGTGGCTGGAAAGCTGCCTGGCGGGAAAGGACCTGGGGGTGCTGGTCGACAGCCGGCTGAACATGAGCCGGC